CATATCTGAGTTTTATTTGTTTATGTTTTTCCTATGAGCTTGGATTAGTATATGCTGTGCGTAAGAAATACGTAATAATAATAATAATAATAATAATAATAATAATAATAATAATAATAATAATAATAATAATAATAATAATAATAATAATAATAATAACAATGATAATAAACGTATCTTTGCTCATAATCTTCGAAGAATAAATTAGAAAGAAATCATCTATACTTATAAGTATCGTGACCCGGAAAAAAATACTAAAGGAGAACATATGTCCTTATTTCCTATCCTTAATCTTATTCGGTACTTTATGTATTTACGTACAATCAAAATCATTCTCTCATACACAAACAGAATTATCGAAAATGAAGAAAAAACCGGAAAGATAGCAGCAACTACAACTTAAAACAATCTCTCCATCTAACCGACTCCACTTCCTTCAGATCCGCTTAAGAAGAACTGGTCGCATGTGAAAGAACGTAAACTCAATACCGTATGTAAACTACTGAAAAATAATAATAAGACATCAACTAAGCTAGTTTTGGCAATTGTTAAAGCTAAGTCTGGTATCGCTACAGGTTGCAAATACTATAGTGTGATACGAAATTATATTAATAAAAATATTTTTTTTTTTGTATTTTTGGGTGGGTTTTATAATTTTTATCTTTTATGTCAACGTTTTAGTAGCTGAAGTCGATGTTTTGTTTTTATAAGAGATTTCGTCACTAGTGTTATATATGTTAGAGGATTTTCTTTCTCCTCACATTTGTTGTACTATGACTTATCCAAAAAAAAAAAGTGTTAAATTGTATCACATCAAAGTGTGTTTGGTTCATCAACAACATGCATCCCACTTTCTCTAAACGGAAATATTCCCCCATATTTCACTTTCACGAACTCTCCTTTTCACCATGAATCTCCACGTCATCACGAAATCACCACGAGCATCATCGCCATCGCTCTCCTGGTCCTGACGTCACCATATCTCCGAACCGACGACACTATCACCACGACCTCCTTCAGAACCACCGACTAATTAACCTCTTAAAGACAACACGACCCTGGGTACTAAGCCTTTAACGACGACCAACGCCATTAGCTCTTCGTACGTTCTGTCACCACGACCTGTCTCTCGTTGTCAGATACCTCCACTCAGGGAAATGGGGAAAAAGAGGCAAAGGAAGAAGAAGAAGAAGAAGAAGAAGAAGAAGAAGATGGAGAAGAAGAAAAAGAAGAAAAGATGGAGACGAAGTAAGGGACGAAGAAGAAGAAGAACACTAAAACGATGACAGAGAAGATGAAGAAGAGTAATATAATAATGATGATGATGACGAAGGAGACGTGATAATAATATCTAGAATGCGAAAACCTGATAGATATATCTCAGCACCAAAAGTTTTCTGAAAAGTCATCGCGAGTAGGCGAGCGTCTTCAACACTTCAATTGAACGTTTTCTTGAACATTTTCTTGAATAATTTCGAATCACAAACAGCGGCTGGGGTTTCGCGACGGACTTTCTCTTAAAAGTTAACATTTGTCTTAAGCCTAAAAATATGACATCGAGAGTCTCCATTTTATCGACCGAGGAAATCTGCCGTGGCATTTGGATGATACAAGTTACCCTTCCAGATAGTATAACGTATATATGTAGAGGCATATATATCTGTATACAGTGTATTGAAATCGTTCAGGCTTTGTAAACTTAACTGCAGAGTTCCACTTTCGAATGAAAATATTTTAATTATCGTTTTTGATACTCAGTCTAATGATTAATATGTTCCTCATTTGAAATGGGATGCTAATTATAATTATTTTTATTCTTTTTTTTTTAATGTGGGAAGTAAACAACACACATAAGATGCGCACAAGCGTCTCCTTTTGAAGCCGTGTGCGCATGTTGGGCTCATTCTACGTGAGTCGACGAGAGGCGCATTCGACCATGTGCTTCATCTTGTTTTCCCTTCCATTTTCTAATTTTCGTTGAAAGTCTTTACTTTTTTCCCCTACAAAGAGAGAGATTCCAAAAAAAAAGGTCTAAGTTTAGATCTATGAACACTCATGACACCAAGAACAGAGACGAGGCCTTAAATATAACGTGAGGATGGGATGTCTTATCTTAATACCATAAAATCGAAACTCCTTAATATTATATATACACACTGGCTTCTATAGACCGAAGGAAGATTGCCAATTTAATGTCTATTATATATATCTATTATCTTCAATATTCTGTCTCATATTCGTGCTTATAATCGGAAAATTTAGTCTAACGTCACATGGAAAATATCGTAATTCGCTACACTATACGATTTACAAGGATATATGCAAAACTTTAAATTGGCATTCTTCTGCACCTACGTGGGAAAAAAAAGGTAAAATGCCCGTGCGAAATTCCGAGCCCCAGCTGCCGCCTGGACCCCCACGCCACCGTCCCTCCCCCCTCTCTCCAAGCGGGAGGTGTGCGTGCAGCGTGGAGGATATCGCTCGCTCTTTTTTTTAGAGA